CCTTTCATTTAAGACCGGAAAATCGAGGTACGTATAAACGACAGTGTATAGGAAGAGAGTAGTATTCGTTTGTCATATCGGGAGAAGTCTATCGTTTTCAACAAATATGCAACTATCAAACATTATTTTTCTATTACCAAGCCTTCTTCAGCCCGGCACAAAGCCGAAACCGTGAGCATATATGTGGGATTGAATTGACTAGCTCATTTCTCAGTTGTAATAGATTATCAGAAAGAAGATAGTTGAAAACCACACAAGCGACAAAGAAAGGATTAAACATCAACTCTAACAAGACAGAATACAATAATCATGCTACTGGTAACCATTCCTATAAAAACAAATATAGCTAACAACAACTCATTTTCACACGTACAGTACAGTAACTCAAATTCTTTCAGTAACACACACCAAAGAACTCTATTGTGTTTATCAACTTTTGCACTATATATTATGCATTTGTTGTGTTTATAAAAAAATATTTATTGTTGAGCAAATTCACAATTTCTTCTACTTGATTATTTCTCTTGTTGTTGTCTTTGTTACATTTGATATTGTAAAAATTGTAGAGGGTCAGTCTTTATTTCTATTTATAACCAATACAAATTGGCTGACCCACTATGATATAAAATAGGCACGCATTACTGACCTGCATTATACATCTGTCGAGTATATTATCCATCCACTCCGTAAATGATTCCACAGATGATTGATGCTGAAGGAGAGATAGGAATTCCTCGAAGTCTGAATAATAATAATTATAATAATAATAATAATAATAATAATAATGACAATAATAATAATAATGATTGTTAACGCCCAGCAAAACACGTTAACCAATAAATGACTGGCGGTTAACGCGTTCATAGGCGAATGGTTTTTTGTAAATTGTTCAATATTAAATAAAAAGAAATCAACAATAATTAATAGATGAATAATAGTTCCAAGGAGTTATCTTCCTACCTCCAGTTTCGCAGATATACCGTTCGTCTTCTCAGATTAAGATAAATAATAATAATAATAATAATAATAATAATAATAATAATAATAAAATCTACAACTTCTATGAGAAGGAATCTGAAATAAAATTGGTATGAACACCACCCAGACCCGATTATGGAGATAAGAAATGTAACAGTTTTATAGGACTTCACAATGCACACAGAAAGAACAATCAAAGCCAATCGTCCAGACATCGTGATTACAGGCCATAAAGGCAGAAAGTGCCTCCTTATTGATATGGCAGTACCTGCAGACTGCAATGTATCTTTGAAGATATTCAAAAAACTATCCAAATACAAAGACATTGAAATGGAAATCTCAGAAATGTTGCTCATGAGAACATCAACAATTCCAGTTGTATTTGGAGCTCTCTCTTTGATCGGAAAAGATTCAATGAAGGGAATCCTTGTAAACCATGCCTTAGAATAGTACAAAATATTGTTCTCACGAGTATAGCCGAAACCTTTTTAAGGGCTTTATCTATGTGAAATATTGATTTTTTTCAAAATAGCTCAATGAAATATGTCATGAAGCTATTTCTGGCCTTAGGTCTCTGGTCGGCACCCAGAAAAAGGGAGTACACACTAGAAATCAATAAAGTCATGCATTTCTCGCTCGTGGTCAATGATTGAACACAGGTTAAAGCTATATTTTAGAATGTTGATTTTTAAATGTGACAGTTGTTAGACATTTTATGACGGTCGTCTTCGAGTATAGAATCCAGAGGTTAGCAGTGAATATTTCGGAGACAGTAGGAAAGCGTAGTTTAGGTTAGCAGTAGATATCGCAGCAAAGTAGCAGAGCGTAGTACTTCCTTCTGTCATCTTCGCCTGACAAGTTGGCACTCGTCATTCGGGTAGGATAAACAAACATGGCCGCCTTTATACACGACGGATAGAATGTTCTGCGGCTTCTGATTGGTTAACCTTCTATTGGTAGACTATAAAGCAAGTGAAGGCATTTGGACCAACTCACTAGTTATATATATACATACATATACACAAAAAACTGTAACAACAGTGTCTATTTAATAAGGAATATTAATGCCGCATAAGTTGGTAAACATCATTTCTCTCAATGTGACCTCTGGCAGTAAGAAGCTTAACTTAGTAAATATCAATGTTTACTTTATGTAAAGTTGATGTCTATTTTTAAAATCATTTCACTCTATCAAGGATATAACGCCACTAAGAGGCCACGGGTTACTGAACGTGAGGAAATCTTGCTGAGAAGAAAGGACAAAAACAATAGCAGGAATTAAAGAGACAGATGACGATTGACGTTGCATTTACATTTCAGAAGATCGTAGTTGACCGTAGTTGACATATCCTCGGGGTGAGAAGTGCGAGAGAAGAAACTGTTAGAATAGAACTTACGGTTACAGTTAGAAATTTCAACAGAGAAATTATGAGACATATCTGCCAATCTGATCTACGTAATTTGTTTACATTTATTTTGTGAGCGGTTTTTTATTTTCTTTTAAAAATTAATTATAATACTGCGCCTTTATATTTATATTTCTGTTGTAATATATCTTTGTATTCCATACCTGTGTTCGTGTTATTCTTTCATTGGTTCTAACCTTGAACCATCACCGTGGTACAAGGAACTTGGACCATAACAGTACGTAAAAGTTATACGAATTTATAAATGATAAAATTATTTTATCTTTATTCGACACCGTAATTCAGCATAATCTTTCTTCGTATACCCAACTGATCTACGTAATTTGTTTACATTTATTTTATGAGTAGTTTTTATTTTCTTTTAAAATTACCACTTTTTATGATCCCTTCATATAAAGTCACACCTCAAAAGACATTAGTGAACCCAAACTATGTAATATTTCGAATACGTCACAGTTCGCGTGCTAGGAAATGAAAAAAAAAAAAACAACATATGAGCAAAGTACCGTGCCCCACTTAAGTTTTAATTAAGGCTTAATTAGACAATATCAATTGCAATTTCGACGAGAAGCGAAATTAAAGTTAGATCTTTAATAAAGAATTGATTTTTTAAAAACCTTTCACTCTGTTCGATATTTAAATTTAAATTTAAATGAGTTGTTTATTTAATTTTTGATTGTATGTAACTACAAGAGTTACGACCTGTAACTTCAAGTTGTTTATAATTCACCGAGATCAAAATGCGGACGGACGGACACACGTACACTGCGCTTTATTTATACAGATATTCAATCCAATAGTAGAATGGTAGAATTATTAATTTTATTAAGTTTAAAATATTATGTTTAAATAACTTATGTGTATGGGAATAACGCGAAAATAGGAAATAAAATTCATTTTGTGAGAGTAATAACCTTGATATTCGTATTTTCACTTCACTGGAATGTCAGTCATTCTAGTGAATTGAAAAGACGAAAAGAAGGTCATTGCTGCCGAGGTTTTGGAGAGAAACTATTTAATAGGTATTTTCTCCGTTTATTTGAAAAGTTATTGATAAATGATAATCAGCAGCCAGACAAAATATGACGTGGTCACGTTCACACGAACCAGTCTTTTCTGATGCTCGTAGTTTAAGTGATCAACGACTTGATAATTTAGAATTCTAAATGCCAAAGTCTTGATAAATGGATCAAGTCTTTGACACTGCAACTAAGCCTTTGCTTACATTAGTGCTTCGAAATTAACAATATTTTTACGATTCATCTGTATTATATGAGGAACCAGTTGACTGAACACTGATCCAAACATTGAACACTGCTAAAGTTTTATAGTCTAAGATGAAATACTCACAAGTCGTTATAACCTGTTGCTGGTGACTGCTTTGCAAACTGGTCATGTAAACAGTCTGGTATGAAATCTCCAGAAAATCAATCCGTAAAGCATCCCGGATCATCTTCTGGACATTGTCCGAATTTTGTAGAACGGATCGTGCGATCTGAAATAATAAAAATATTATTTTGATTACGTTAACCCGATATCCTAAATGACGCATCCTCGTTAGTAATTCTTAATTATGGGGTGTTTCACAATTTTTGAAACAAAATGGTCGGGCACAAATCAAGTACCGCAAATGGCAGAGTAATGGAAATTATAATTATTAAAAGATAAAAGGATAATATTTCATAATCTGCAACCATTTTGTCTCAAGTCTGAACCAAAAATATCAAGAGGATCCCTAGAATACACGCTCCGGATGTCCGCCGTTCAGTTGAAGGCACTGTTGAATGAGGAATTTTTAACGCTGCACATTCCTCGGGGATGATCGCTTGAATCTTCTTAATGATGGTTGACTTCAATGCAGCAACGACGTGAAAGTTGCCCAGGTAGAAAGCTGTAAAAAGGGGTGCCTTAATGCCAGGCAAGTGAGGTGCCCAGGCCACTTCAGCTTTTCGGCTGATGGGAAAATTCCCCAACTTTTCACGGGGGGGGGGGTATGCGATGGTAATATTAGTAGTGCGAAGAGAAGCACCATCCTCTTCCCATCAAGATCCTCCTCATACTCCTCGAGTTACCCCCATCTATGTGGGGGGGGGGCTGCTTTGTTTCAACAATTGTAAAATTAACCTGTATATCAGCTATATTACCTATTCAGATGTATTTGTAAGATTAGGACGTTTTCAAAATTCTACGACCCAAATCAGTCGGGGGTTATTTTCAAAGGAGAAAAGGACCGAAATCCGACTTTAGTGTTTACATTTTTAATGGTCCGAACATTTAAATAAATCTGGCTTTGCGTGCTATGAGAATGGAATGGGCTTTAACGTTATGGGGCTAAACATATACATATATGCGCGTGCACGTACACATGCGCACATGCTAATTTTCTAGGCGTAGCTTATATGTGGTATACGGCCGAAAGTATTGCTCACCCAGTGAGGATCGAACTCACTTTTTAGTTGTAATTGATCCAGCGAGACAAGCTTGCTAATCATTACACCACATCGAAGTGCGCCCACATATCTGGTATATATTTGAAAACTGGTTTTCATGTATGTAAATTTAGATTATATGTAAATTTAAGTAAATGAAAACCAGTTTTCAATCTATCTATCTATCTATCTATCTATCTATCTATCTATCTATCTATCTATCTTCCATGTGTATTATTGTTTGATAGAATAATTATTGCCCTAGATAGCTATTGACCACGTTATTGACAAATAAGGGAAAGGGATATATTTGAACGAAGTAGCTAAGTGGGTTTGGCTACTATAACCAAGTAGAATGTGGTAGCAGTAATCGACTGGTACGCGTCGTAGTCGCAGGCAAGAAGCGTAGATCAATGGCGTAGTCCAGTGGGCGTCGTTATAGACTTGGCTCTCAGACTAAGGCTCTCTTCTGACTCTCCTACACGTCCGTCGGTATTTATGACGAACACCAGCCAATCGTATTCCAGTGAGGGGGAACACACGTGTACAAATATTCCATTATATCATATATATATATATATATATATATATATATGTATGTATGTGTGTGTGTGTGTGTGTGTATGTGTATTAACCATAATATTTATTACAATAAGTTTATTCGAGCAAATCAGTACAAGAATATATAAATTCATATTTGACAAAAAATTCCCGTAGCAATTCATTACCTGTGCTAGTCTGACAAATGAGAGTTGCCTTCGGATGCTTTGAACAAAGGCTTGGACAACTGCAAAAAAGAAAAATCAAAACGATAATAATCAGTCACACACACACACACACGCGCGCGCGCGCAGATAATCGTAGAAACGATATCAAAGCTACCAATCGGAAAGCACGATACGTACTCATTTGATAATACAGGGAGCAAGAAATGTAATATCCTTTTAGCTGATTACAAACGATATCACTGTAAACCAGAGTGTGTGTATCGTTTGAAATCTCTCATTCTGAAACTGCAATAGTTGGGACGATACTCTCTCACTATCATCCCCCGCCACACACACACACACACACACACACACACACACACACACACACACACACACACACACACACACGCCGACATATGTATACATATATATACAAGGTGTAACAGGAAAATTGTCCAAATCTTGTAACAGCATGGGATAATTGTCCATCCCACAAAATGTTTAATAAAAATAATCCACGAAACTAACTGAGTTTTTTTTTTATTTCAGGTTTTCTGATAAGACGTTTAGCCATCTTCATACCATTTTCGTAACAATCAATAACAAACCATTCAGCTAGAAAGAGCAATAGTGAGAGGGAAAAGATCACTCAGACATTCAGTAATGTTACCAACATTCATACTTTGGCTTCCATCTTCAAAGTCCATTCAAGAAGACTCGAGAGAACGGTGAGTAAGTTTATAAAGAAGAAACAGTAGAGAAGAAAACTAGATCAGGAGAACACAACAGGAAGAGGGATCATCATTTCAACTTACAGCTAAAGAGATCAATTAGAAAAGATCCAACTCAATCCAGAAGGTGTTTGGCACGTGAGAGATTAGTTTTAGCTATGAGAGTCCAGAGAGCAACGAAAAAAGATTTGAAAATGGAATTGTACGTGAAACCTGTTATGCACCTTGTTATTCCAGGACAGTAATTTCGAAGGTTAGAGAGGACAAAGATCATCTTGAATAAGTTTAAAATGCTCCTGGAATAATATATATATATATATATATATATATATATATATATATATATATATGAACTTTATTTCAATCCTTAATGAGCAACAAACACTTAGATAAGATTAATTAACGATGAAAATGCCATTTTCGTTTTTTTTAAGCGTTTCACCCCAAGCAAGGCGGAAAGCCACTAGGACGCAAGGGGTTACAAAAAATTTGGAGCAAGATCAGATAGGAGAGATAGAAGAAAGGATGAGGAGAAGGTTAGTGGATAGATCAAGGCAACTGTAGATGTCGATTGACATTACATTTGAATAACTGGAGATTTATGATCGATTTCCTAACGATTCCTCTGTTAAGCTTTGAGAGTAATTATACATTCTTACTGTTGAAAGTAGAGGCTAATATTGTTATAAAAACTTACAAAATTCCGGTAAGATATCTTGAATCATTTCTAAAATACACAGTTCAAATCTTAATCTAACAAAAGAACAATTTTGCTTTAATACGATTGGTACAATTTTGCTGTTAGAAAGAAATTCGGATTACTAACACAGAAAATGTCTCATTGAGAATATTTAACATTGAAAAACAAAAGAAAAAATTAATTATTTTTAATAATATGTGGAAATATCCGCTTTTACCTGAAGACGGTCGCGAGTCCAGAAACTCGTGTAGTAAAATTATGTAAAACGAAGCATAACATTTTTTCTAAATAAATCCACATTACAACCAAAAACGTTTGCGGCACCTCTCTTGTCTTCTTTTTAATATACATTCTTTTTAATATACATACTTTTCTCTCTCTGGAACCACTACATCCTCTTTCTATATATATATATATATATATATATATATATATATATATATATATATATATATATATATGGCTATTGTACATGCCTTTTGTAAGCTTCAAAACGTTGCAATGGTAAAACATATATATTAGTTAATTCTAACTGTTAGTTCTATGGTAAAAGTCTCTTCTCCCAGTTTGCTAATACGATCTTTAAATATTTAAGTGTACTGTAAATAATTCTCTTTTGCCTCTTTCCCTTCTGATTTTCTATTGTTGTGTTTTTTTTTCCGTTCTCATTTACCATTTGCATGTTAGTGGTTTTTATTGGGTAACGTATTTTTAACTAAATTCTTGTGCGGAGTTTTTCTACGTACCTTTCGTTTTTATATCTTGTAACTTTTGCGACATGTTTTCCAAGGAATTCTCCAACCAGACAGGTAAACTTTTGATAAACAATTTTACTTCCTGACTTAAGCTAGAAAAGAAAACAAAAATAAAACAAAAGAATTTATGATTAGCTTAATAAAAAGACATTTTACTGATTCCTTAAAAGAAATTACGCGTAAAACAAATTTTCAAAAAGTATTTACGTTTCTGGAAGTTCTTGGATAGTTGTCGGAATCAAGACATCTATAATTGCCTGAAAAAAGAAGAAAAATATTATATATTTTGTGTTCAAGTATACCACAGACTGACGCCACTCGGTTTTAAAAAATTTTTTACTATAAAAATCTATTTTTAGTTTTTTGACACCAGTTTGTGGGGATTAACTATTTGCCCATATGTGGTAACCTTATAGGTTCTACCTGGTGCTAATATTGCTCGATATATAATAACAGAACTCTAATTACGAAATAAATATGCATTTTTCTTCACATGTAGCTCAAGTATGATTTTCATGCACTCGTGCTGATTGAAAAATTTCAAAAGTTTTGCATGAAGCTCTGAGTTGTGCTGCATGTGAGGAAAAAATATATATTGAGCAGACCTTAGTCACAGTTTCTGGGAAAGACTGTATTATCTAGAATGATCAACAATTTGTTCAAATTTCACGCTGAAGCCCTCGTCCATGATGACGTGTAACTTCATACTAGAAAAGGTATCGACGGCCACCAATAAATCTGACTATAGTCAACGTTCTAACCACTCAGCTACAAGTAATCTTTACGGTAAACATATATATATATATATATATATATATATATATATATATATATATATATATATATATATTATATATATATATACATATATATATTCTCAACAACCTATATATATATATATATATATATATATATATATATATATGCTGATGTTGCTACATACCATTTTACTTCTTGCCTATCTGCAAATATTTTCTAAGCTTCATACTAAACATTAAATCGGTTTCGAAAAAAGAACTAAACAAAATGAACACAAAACGATCAGCTTTAAAAAAGGAAAAAGCGATTGAACAACAAATACTTTTTCACACCAAACCCAGTTCTGCGGAATTAGAATCATCGTTCAGTTTAAGCAAGCGAATTGGAGTAAAGTTCCATGCAGATTTAAATTTTTCACACTTGTGACGAATGCAGCTATCGATTTTTTTGCACGCTAGCACGCTAGTTAACATTCGTGTCAGTCAGCTGTTGGCTCTCACGCTGCCCAATTGAATCTTCCTGCCTATTCGTGGCAGCCATCTATAGGCTCTCACTGTGGCCAGTAGAAAATGTCCGCAAACTACATGAAAACTGCCGTAGAAACATGAAAAAATCGATTATTTCTACTATCGATGGGAGTTAGGAAATGCAAAGTCGGTCTTGGCCTTCCCGCTAACTTGGAGCATGTGCATGTAAATTTTGGTGCATATCCGACGAAAATTGCGGCCGTGCATTCGTTACACACACACACACACACACACACACACACACACACACACACACACACACACACACACACATCCTGCCTTTTATAGATAGAGATACATATATACATATATATATATATATATATATATATATATATATATATATATATATATATATATATATAATTATGCCATAAAGTAAATTCTATGGGACAAAAACTAAATCCAGTACTGTAACCGTACTGCACAGTCGAGGGCAAATGCAAATCCCCTACGGTTATATACCAGGCAACCATTGCCCCCAAAGAAAATATGACAAATTTTAATGTTAACATTGGTATTTCTGCGGGAGAATTAAAACAGAGAATTTATACCTATAGGCACTCGTTTAGCAATACTAAACTAAAATTCCAAACAGCTCTTTCCAAGAAATTTTGGGAATTGTAGGAAAAGGACATAAACCTGTAGATAGATTAGAAAATAATAGCTTTAGAGATAGATGCAGGCTATATTTAGAGGAAGAATTAGAATAATTAAATCCAATAATCCAAGCAAACTATTAAACCAAAGGAGATATCTAGTGTTAAAATGTAGGTTCAAGCTTATATAAGAATGTAGATCTTACAGTCACTCATTAACTAACAGCCTCTGATTAATTTTTGCTTTAATATTTTCCCCTTAAAGAATTTCGGGTACAGCTGGGCACCCCTAATATTATAACCGAACCTGAATGGTGGAAAGGGATGGCGTGTGTATGTATGTATGTGTATGTATATATATGTACATGTGTGTAGATATGTGTGTGCATGGGTGTGTGTGAACGCTTGTATATGTATACATATATGCGTGTCTATGAGTGTGTGTGTGTGTGTTAGTTAAAGCC